CACCAATGAGACTATGATGTAATGAAATTTGGTTACTGATATATAGGTGAATGTTAGATTGAAGCAAATCAGTTGAGAAATAGATGAAAAAGGAGAAATGAAGAACTAAACAGCAACAACCAGAGCTTATGGAAAGTCAGATTTATTTTGTCGAAAGTAAATGACAAACTACTAACTGAAATATGAAATGTTCTGAAACGAGTAATGGAAATTTCAGATTTTCTCATCACAGGGAAAATGCCACATTTCTTAAGAAAACACTGGGATTTCATTGCCAAGACCACAGTGTCAACAGTGCCTCTCAGCCCTTCTTTACATAAGACCGACAGGGAGCTATGAAGCTAAAAGCCTGAAGAGAGGCGCACTGCAGAGCTCTGCCTGCTGTTTGGCAGCCAGAGTGCTTCCAAGAGTGCTGGGATATCTGGAGACCAGGAACATTTTGAATGTCAGCCCCACATTCAGCAAGTAATCCCAAGACTGCCCATGTGTCAGGTTGAGCCACAGAAACAGCTTTCTGGGCAACATTTCCATTGTACTGTTCTGTATGAAGCTCCCTTCTCTCCTTAGGAACAACTTGTAAGACCCAGTTTAGGAGCACTGTCTTTCAGGAGCATCCTCTCTCAAACGTCTCTAGTTAGACTGGTCCATGCAAGTTGCTTCTGACAACCAAAATTTCCACTCATCCCTCCCAGCATGGTGATTTGTGGGTCCAAGCTTTGTCAATGCAGTAAAGCAGATTTTGTCCCAAAGGAAGACACGTCCCTAATAAGACAAAGGTCATGCCCTTGTTGTATGGGTAGCGGTTTAGCTACACCTACCAGCTTCTCTTCCTGTTTTTTTTTCTAACATCACGCTATTCCTGAAATAACATCAGCATTCAGTTACCACTAATGGAAAATACTTCATCATTTTAGGGAAGGGATTTTATGATGGCTTTTACTGTAACAGCAGAGCCCTTGATTCACAGCGGTCACAGAATGCACCTTTATTACTGATACTAGCCCTGACCAAAGCACTGTGGGACTCCTGATCCTGGGAGTCTTCCCCACAGAGTCAGGGTGTATCCAAGGCACACAGCTGGGTCACAGAAACATTTTTTAGGTCTTGCAGTTTAGACATTGGCTCTGTGAAACAGCAGCTCCTTTCCATAGCTGTGTTCTCTGCAAAAAGCAATCCCCACACAGGTGGGAACTGAAAAGTATGGGACAGCAATGTGCTGCAGCACTAGGATACTCCTAGTCATTATAACCTAAATATGTTACTGTGGCAAAAATTGTAAAGTCAAGCAAGATCCACTAGACTGTCAGATCACTCAGAAGATGTTTAATAGCACTGTTTAATATCTTCATTACTGACACATACAGTGGGATCGAGTGCACCCTCCACAAGTTTGCAGCAACACCAAGCTGTGTGGTGTGGTTGACATGCCCAATGGATGTGATGCCATCCACAGGGACGTGGAAAAGCTCAAGAATTGGGCCCATGGGACCCTCATGAGGTTCAACAAAGCTAAGTGCAAGATGCTGCACCTGGGCTAGGGCGATCCCCAGCAACAATACAGGCTGGGGATGAAAAGATCAAGAGCAGCCCTGCCAAGAAAGACTTGGGGGGGCTGGTGGATGAGAGGCTGAGCATGACTCAACAATGTCTTTTTGAAGCCCAGATGGACAATCACATCTTGGGCTGCACCAGAAGAAGCATGGCCAGCAGGTCCATTCTCCCCCTCTGCTCTCGTGAGACCCGCCTGGAGTGCTGTGTCCAGCTCTGGGGTCCCCAGCACAGGAAAGAAATGGACCTGTTGGAATGAGTCCAGAAGAGGGCCACAAAGATAATCAGGATGGAACATCTCTCCTGTGAGGAAACGCTGAGAGAGCTGGGGTTGCTCAACCAGGAGGAGAGAAGGCTCTAGGGAGACCTTACTGCAGCCTTGCAGTACATAGAGGATCCTTATAAAAAGGGATGGGTACAGACCTTTTTAGCAGGACCTGTTGCAATAAGACAAGATGTAAAGGCTTTAAACTAAAAGTGAGATTTAGACTAGATACAAGGAACAAACTTTTTACAACGAGGGTGGTGAAACACTGGAACAGGTTGCCAAGAGAGGTGGTAGATGTCTCATCCCTGGATACATTCAAGGTCAGGTTTGATGGGGCTCTGAGCAACCTGATCAAGTTGAACACGTCCCTGCTCACTGCAGGCAGGTTGGACTAGATGACCTGTAAAGGTTCTTTCCAAATCAAACTATTCTCTGATTCTATGAAAATATGGGACAGGTGGGACACCACAAGACTTCTTTCAGCAACTTGACCATTCCTCATCCCTTGGCTATTTTCTAGCCTTCCATTCCCTTTCTGTTATGTCCAAACCAAATAAGCATTAGCTAAGTCTTAAATAGCCTGTTGAGGCTAATGAACAAGATTCTCAAGGCATAGTAGCATTTATCTCCCATAATTTTATACTTGTTTATGCAGTTTGGAAATCTATTTTCAAAGTCAACTCTTTACTGCTGCTGACACCTATCCAAGCTGAATGCTATAAAGAGGTAAGAGCTACTCACTTACTTCACTTTTTTAATAATGTTTACTCTTGTAAAAGAAATTTTGTTGTTTCCACAGGAGTTCATGCCTAGAAATCACTATTCCATGAGAGTTCACGCCTAGCAATTACTATTCCAAAAACATATCTTACTGGTATAATTCTTTTTACTTCACAGAAGTTTAAAAATACAAGTAAAGGTCATATGCTAATTTGACATTTCAAAATCACACTCAAACCTGAAGCTTCATAAAAGTAAGTTTGATTATGACACTTGATGTACTCTACATATAGGAGCAGCTTAAAATCACTTCTTTTTGCATTATGAACTGAGATTCTTTTGCAGTAAGACATAATTTTAAAAGGCTTTAAATAGTGGAGAACACCTAGCCAAAGCAACTTCTATCATTGTCCTGCTAAAATAACAACAGATGTACCAAATAACATACCTTCTGAAAATTCTTGAGCAATTGCAGTTGTTACTTCACCAAACTGCCACAAAAAGAATTTACAGATGAAAAAAACTTCTATTTCATCAATGTTGTTAGTAAAATACACACTTCACCTTATTTTTCTTGGAATATGTGATACCAGAATAGAAAAGCAGAAAATCTCTTTTAAAATAGGGGGGGAAACCCTGTAATTTTTAGGAACACTTAAGAAGTACAGAATACCTAGGCTGCTACTTATCACAAACATCTCATTACTATCCTGTATTCCCACATCCCTATCTTCTCCCCTGTTCTTTCATTTCTTACCAACTTCGTAAATTCTTCAGAGCAGGTTTTCTTTTTCATACAAGGCTTGACACAACAGAGGGCATCTTTCCACCACCGAAGTGGAATAAAGTAATAATATTATCTATGTCATAATATTACAGATATTATTATTGTAGATAACATTTTATAAAAGAAAATTGGATCTTAAATTGTCCTGTCATATTAGCTGGCTTCACTCACTTTTTCAGGATGCTACAGATTCTGCCTCAGAGGAATCATTTCACAGACACTGAAAGATCTCATGGCTGGTTAGGAACGGCTGGGGTTTTGGACAGCTGGAAAAGTGTAAGAGGCTACTTAAATTAAGAATTAAGCATAATGGGCCCATAATAATGTTTAAAAGCTGACCCCAAAACTATCAACTGCTAATACCTCCATGAGATTTCCAAGTTAGCAACAGACTTTCTCCTCCTGAGAAAATGCAATGGTTTCAGGTTGGCTGCAGATGTAAGAATACCACTTCTGTCCTATTCACAAGGTCTTCTTCATAGGCAGAGCAGTGGAAAAGCAGCAGAGCAGTTGTCTGAGGCACAATTTTGTAACTGTTTATGACAGGACTTGGTATGACTTAAACTCCAATCTTCAACTTTTGACTTACAGTCTGAGAAGCTCAGTCTGGCTGCACAAGTCCTCTACATACAAACCATACCTGGTAGGCTGAATGCCCAGTTGCTGGAATTAGATGCTCAGCTTCTAGTTTAGTGGTGAACACAGGGATGCCAGGTTGAGATGGACTCAGTGATCTCAGAGGTCTTTTCCAACCTTACTGATTCCAGAAAGCCACAGTTTGCAAAGGGACTCCACAGAAAGGATAGATTAATAAGATCATCGATTTTTAAAGAGCTTGAAGAAGGTAATTCCCTTAATAGGGTTCTGCTGCATAGCTGCAAGGAGAAAGGGAGTTTCCTGATCTCTAAGATTGTTGATCTCTTTCCTCTGATTGCAATTAAAAGATAATCTAGAGTCATTCATAGCAGCAGATGTGGAACAGACAATACTGTCATTTCTTGTGCTGTTTATAGAGTACAAAGGGAAAACAATACACCTGCAACAGTTATGAGTCTCATACACTCATTTAGTATTAGATTAGACCAGCTTGGGAGGGCAAGGGAATTCTGGCTGGGATTGCAGAATCTGCAGGTAGGGAAGATCTTGTAAAACTGAAAGCAAATAAATAACTTTCTATCCCTTCCAGCTGTAGCTAAGGTTGCTTAGGTACTGACAGTTTAAAACGCAGACTAAATAAAATCATGCAGCAAGAAATGTTTTCCCTGGTAACTACTTTCAGTGTTACATTATTTACTTATTTCGAGTATATGTTTAACTACTGGGGGAGGGAGGGATTAAAAAAAAGGCATTTTCCTTGCTTTGTTAACTCCACTGCTCCAACAGACAAAACATAAAATTGAACAGTAATATAGGAACTGGGTCTGCAAATAACACACAAGGTTTTATTTTCATTTTTATTACAAAATTAACAAAAAATAATCTCATAACATTTAAAGTTTAATTTAAAAAAGTCTTCACAGGTCATCAGACTAGCAAAAGGAAAATTAAGGTAAAGAAGGTATGCAATGCATTTTGTTCCCCATTATAAACAGTCAGGACTCAGGAGCTTGCCATCAGGAAAGTCAGCTAGTCCAGCACTTCAGCCTCTAGTGCTGCAAATGAGTCAATGACAGAGGCTTCATTACATTTTCTTTTTTATTTTTCTAAACAAATCTAAGCACAGCAAAGGACACACAAAGTGTACCATTCTTTTAACAAAAAAAAAAAAAAAAAAAAAAGAAGGGTAATCTTTATGTTAGCTGAAAAATACAGCTCACTGGTGTGGCTTTTTAATGTTCCAAGAACATAAGGAAGGATAATTTTAAAAATACATATAATCCGTTAAAAGGTCAGAATTCATAAGACATTGAGACCAATCATTTACAATGTGTTCAAAAATTAACACTATATACAGAAAGATATAATTGCCAGCAGTTGTAAAAGTATAATTTTACATAGAATGTGGTCAGCCAAAAATTCATGTGCCAATTAACACAAGCACTGCTCCTTTTATTTCTTCTGAGATAGACAGACAGATACAAACATGTGGGAGGATACACTGCCTTCATAACTATTTTAGTTCAAAATCCATTGTTTTGCAAAAAACCAGTCTTCTTTAAGAAAACATGCATAATTCAGAACTCTTTACTCCCACTGACACTCCTTAAAGAGTCATTGTCATTCTTTAAAAATAATACAAGTGCTACAATATAGCACTTGTGACGTGTTATTAGCTCAGATTTAATAGCTGCAGTGAGAATACTTTAAGATATCTTTTCCTTGAGGTTTGAAAAAAAAAAAAGGGGGAATGAACTTGCATTCCAACATCAGTATTTAAATATTTTCAGGTCATCGAAATAAAGACCACCATGTACAAATGGAGATATCATTAAACAGATATCCTGTCACTTCAAGAATTAGGTACTGACACTTATTTCGAGTAATTGAAATGCAATTTATTTCTGTCACCTTTAAGTGAACCATCAGTAATAACCATCAGAATAAAATTCACCCTGGGAAGGCACAGAATTTCAGAAGATATAGATGTGTAAGGCCCAGCTCAGTTTTCCTTCTGCAAAAGAGTGAAATAATCAATGTGCTGAAACTTCAGGACCTCGTTTCCCCAGCTGGTCCAGCCAGGCTGCAGGTTGCGAGCAAACAGCTCCAAGCATTCCACATCTGGCTTGATAAACTCTGCCAGAACTGCTGTGTGAGAGAAAAAAAAAAAGAAAACAGTGACAATGGTACAAATAACAATAGTAAACACATAAAACCTCCCCTGTGATGCTAGTGGATGAAAAAATGAATGTTTCATTAAAAAAGGGAGAGACAGCAAATTAATTTCAGGGGTTTCATCAAACAGCTGGACTATTTATAGTGAGAAAGTAATTTTAAATAAGTGCCCTTGAGATTTTGAACAATACTGTCAAGGCCTTCAATAGCCTTGATTTATTGGTTTTCATTTAGAGAAAGGGAATGAGGATTTATTTCAGCCTCTACATAGACGAGTTCTGAATTTTTTACTAATATCAACAAACAGCTCCTAAAGACTAACTTAGCTCCTATAACACAGGGGTAACATTTCTAAAAATAAATAAATAAATAACCCCTTTTCTTAATTAAGATCACACTCTTTTCCTTTGCACCTTAAAGGGGATAAAAGCATTTTTGTGATGACTGTTAGGAGGTAAAATAAGAGGCACCAGTTAAATAAGCATAGCACTAAAGGGCTATAAAAATGCAAGCACTACTTTTTCCCCAATACCAACCTGGCAACAGAAGAGATATTTATATAACTCTGTTCTTTTATTCAGTAACATAAATCTCATATTTCTTTTACAGTTGGGCATTTTACTGCTTAAATCCAAATAAATAGATGCCTGTCATTAACATTAATGATGTAAATGTCATGGATTATGAATGGCATTCTTGGAGTGACAGAAAAAGATCTCGCATTTTGCTTGAAAAGTATTACTGCAAAGAGTTTATTGCTAAATGTTTTACTTGTCATACAGAGCCATTTAGTCTGTGGCTGGTTCAAACAAATCCTTAACTAGGTTTCTCAAAGTTATTGCATATAAAAATATGCATGAGAAAAGCAAAGCTTTAAGGAGTACATAACACAGAAAAGGCAGAAAGACCAAAAAAATCTTAACATATAATTTTTAGTATAGGTAAGGTTTTTAAGTTTTTGGTTTTGTTACTGAAGACAAAAGAAGAAAAGTTATGAAAACATTTCCAAAGGATACTTTGGTGATTTTTTATTAGATCTCCCAGCGATTTCTGAATCTCTGTCACTTAAAAATACAACTCATTAATCCAACAGTATGCTGCTTGATTCAGTCTCTTCAGGTATGATCACTGCAGATCATACCAGCATACACATCCAATCAGCATACACCACAGCATGAGAGGGAATGCTTTTTCTTGGTTTATTTGGTGCAATCCAAGTTCTGACTCTTTGTAGGAAGTTTGCCTGTCACATACTGCCTGTGTGAGACCCCAGCTGATCAGATCATGGATTGTTCCTGTTGGAGAAAAGATGAACATCTACTTCGCTTTCTATTGTTAGCCAGGCCCAGATGCATTTCCTACCTATATGATCACCTCTTAAAAAGCTTTAATATATTCAAAACCTTTTCGTAAATATTCTGTAATGGGTGTTTCCAGGCTTTCTTGTATTCTGGCTTGGCACAAAAATCTATTCTCCTTCTCCCAATCTTTAACAAATGCCACATGAATGTCTCAGATGGGTTATCATCAAGGCAGCTTTTAACCTAAAAAACACTGCTACCAGCAGGAATCTTATTCCAAAAACCTGCTTCTTTTAGAGACAAGTTAAAATGCTTAAACAAATCTAACATTTGCAGAGAAGTCTGGGAAGTTTAGAGGAAAATGTACATTCTGACAGAAAACTTGCTGCACTGTTTGGTGTCATGGGAGTTCATCTAATTAGACACGACTTATGAGTAGCTGTTTTTATACCATCTTGCAAACCCACCATAATAGAAGAAAAAAAGTGGTAAAGTTTACTGTTGTTCTTCCAGCTCCATTTAGATAAGGATTTCTTGTGCATCATTTGCTGTCAACATGATCAGAGGGCTCAGGCACCTCTGCTAGGAGGACAAGCTGAAAGAGTTGGGGTTGTTCATCCTGGAGAAGAGAAGGCTCTGGGGAGACCTTATTGTGGCCTTTCAATGCTTAAAGGGAGCCTCTAAGAAAGATGTGGACAAACTTTTTAACAGGGCCTGCAGCAATAGGACAAGGGGTAATGGTTTTAAACTAAAATAGGATTGATTCAGACTAGATATAAGGAAGAAATTGTTTACAACGAGGGTGCTGAAACACTGGAACAGGTTACCCAGGGGTGGTAGATCTTAAAATGCATAGGTTAAAAAATATCACAGCACTAAGTTCAGCAATCAAAAGCAGTTTTAACAAGCACCAAAAACTTCCATGCCTAAAAGGACAAATTTGAAAAGCACACATCGGAGATTCAACCAACTTCAGAGACTGGTTCAGCAAAAAGCAGGTAGCCAAAAAAACTGATCAGTTCAGCAGAAGCAGGAGGCATGTCACGGTACTTCTATCAATTTGGTTATAGAATTTAAAAAGGAAGTCCCAGGAATCTCCCCCTCTCCTTCTGCCAGTGAGAGGATATTTTTAAAGTTAGAGGTTTTTTTTAAAAAAAGAGAGACATATTACATATAATTCGAGATCACATTATAGTATGATTTTTCATTGCTAGGTTGTAGGCATTTACATAATCACATCAGGCAGTAACTTGCACTGCAATGAAAATTACCATATCAAGAGGGCTCCATTTTGTTGGCTTAAAATCTCATTACATTGGTTTCCTTAAAATAAGAAAAGTCAGTGTTCAAGTTACAAATTATGGCTTTTTTGTTAGACCTTTTTAAGACTGGAAGGCTAGCTTAACACACAGGCATTTGACTTGCAGCCCTCAAGCAAACCCTGGAGTTTTTTTCCTCTGAAAACAGGTTAGAGGAGCTACATCAGCAGAAAGATTAAATATTAAGTTCTTCTGCCACAAGAATAAATTGAAAAACAAAATCCACCACACAATTACTTCTATCCACTTACAGATACCACTGACAAGAAACAGCTCAAATAAATGATAAACAGCCTATTCTTTATCACTTACAGGTGTCACAACCACTACGACAGCAACTCAGGCACTTATATTTGGGCATGACATGATGCTAGCACAAAGCTAGCTGGTAGACATAACACTGGTCTTCCAGAAAACCCTCTTCATTCTGAAGTGCAATCCAGCAGACACCTGCCATACCTGCTTACTCTTAATCCCAAACATATATTGAAGATGCATGCTGCTAAAAACGTTTAAATAAGAAAAAAGAGGAATGATTTTTGAAACAAGCAACAGTTTCCCCTTATGTTTTGGACTTCCACTGCCTAAAAGGCAAGTTCTGCACTGACAAATTGCATACATAAAGTGAAAATGACTCTCGGCTTTTCACTGCCTCATCAGTGAACCATGCAAAGCACAAAGCACACAACTGAGCTCATTTTAGAATAACCCTTCGAGAGAGTTCGCAATGCAGAGGTTCTTACGGCCCAGTTTGTCTAACCCCTGAACAGAGTAACACCAGAAAAAGATCTGAAACTCGGCACAAAGATGGTTTCACACATCTGCATCTCTCCTAAGCTTCAAGTTCAACTCAGATGTTGATGCACCTATCAATTAGTCTAACAGTAAGGGCTCACAAGGCACATAAGGAAATAAAAGGTATTTATTTCTTTTTAGTTCCAAGGAAACCTTTTTAACACGGCCTAACAAGCCAGACTTGCTACAAGAGGAGGGAGTTTCCGTGACTTCTCATTGCAGTGTTCTGCTGAGGATATGCAGAGTGGCTAGAACACAGCCAAGAATTATTTCCAGTGTTTTTAGACATACTCCTATATGACAATATCATTTTCTAACAACATATGTACATACTTAAAAACTGAAGGAGAAATGGCTGTAACAAGGACAACCTATAATATGGGAAAAGAAAAAAGGTGATGTGAAGTTATGTAGAACTTCATCCATCTGTGTAACAGAATGTCTTTTATGCCTTGTAAGAGCAACACTGAATTGAATTAGGAAGAAAACCTGCTGTTATTTGAATCGAAACCTGGAGTAATAAAATTTGATTTTAACACATTTGCATAAAGCAGCTTAAGTACATTTACAATGACATATTAAAGCTCTAAGCATTGAACACAGCACATGCATCACCAAAAACCCCTACAGTTGCAATTTCATGGTTAAATGCACTATAGGAGCACAAACACGTCTTTTTGACGGCTTACTTTAATTTACATCTTTCTCTTCCCCCAGGAGAGATAAACTGTTATAATCAGTCATTAAGTGGTTACATATGCACCAACATACAACCGTTATTGTTGTAATAAGAAGCAAAGTGCCAGACACCATCAGTAAATACTAATATTTTTGGCTTTGTTACCACTTAAACAAAGCATAAAGAATGCGTGTGACTCATCAAGTGTCCTTCTCGCCCCTTGCCAAATCTCTGCTTCTGTTCAAATTTCTTCTGAAACCCTCTAGGATGTAGCTTAGCTGCTCTCTACTGGCCACTCGAGAGTATTGTCCAGTCATAAAAGCAACACCTGGCACAGCACTGAAGTCAAAGCATCAGCAATTAGCTTTTTGCCTTATGGTCTACCTTTTCGTTACATAACTGTATTCTGAATGGAGATGTCAAAAAAGGTAGGATACACGTGGATTTTTTATAGAAACCTTGTAAATCATTGATATTTGCTCCACAGCAAATTTGTTTTTTCAGAGAGAAATATAAATGCTGCACAATATTATCAAATCCCAGCATTCAAGTAAAATCCTCGAGAAACACACAAAAAAAATGAGCACAAACAGTTTCTTTTAAAATCCATTCAGGATCATAATTTATAAAGGAATCCCAAATACAGTTTCTAGATTCTGCCCTACAAAAGAATTGTTCCACGGACTATTCCGGCACTAGAATTTCCTGCAATACACACAAACAGTTGTTCTGCACCCTCAGATATCTCACAAGTTTCCTGTTTGTGTCTGAGTTTGCTGCTAAGTATTGGGTTTGCTGAAGAGGCCCTAGATGACACCCTCACAAATCACCACCCTACTATTCATTACCTTAAATCAACACATACAGTTCCTCCTCTAGTCTTAATTCTTAAAGATGTGGCTTCAGAATCAAAAAGATCCTCCTAGAATTGCCTTTCTTCTTTTCTGCTTTTAGCTAACCAAAGTATGTCCCTTCCACTAGTTTTTCAACAGGTATATATATATATATATATATATATATATATATGTGCATATATATATATATATATATATGTTAATTTAATAAATACAAGATCCCAAAAATAAATTTTACAGTGTCCCTGAACATAAAACAATTTTCCAGATCAGCATCCTAACTGAAACTGTTCTATTCCCTGGGAACAGAAAAAAGAAAGCATGTCAGTGAAGCAAACTGTGATACCTCTCCCCTTCAACAGCATTAAACATTTCTTCTACCTGCCTTTTCTGATGTGACTACATAGCACCATGTGCACCTGGAATATCTGCAGATTCATCATGAGCTTCCCTCCTGTGGGAGGATGAAACCATTTTTGTGAAATGTACTAAATGCACTTCTTACCATAGCCTTGCAAGGTGAAAGAAGTACAACTTCCTACTGACAAAATTAGTCAGAGTGCTCCAGAACAACATGCAAAACGTAGCAACACATCACACGGAAGTCTTCAAATTCTTTGGACTAAACTCCGAAAAGCTGGATTTATACACACATTAACTGGCTGGCTGAAGTTACTGCATCAATTTCAGTAAATTAAATAGAGCTTCTCAGAAAAAAGCAGGGCCTGCCTATTTATTGCCTATTATCAGCAGTCTTAAAATAATTACGCTTTTGGATTTAAAGGCATAATTTTACTGCAGGCAATTCATGCAGAAATGAAAACTTTTCCTTCAAGATGACATAATAAAGGAAGAGTTTTCTGCTTTTATTAACTAAGTAGAAGATATCCTATTATATATTCCCAAAGTTTTCTCCCCACAAGGTATTTTAGATCATTTGTCATAACTTCATATATGAAGTATCTGTAAACTGTTTGTGCAGTATTTAATAGACAAATTTTGAAAAAGGCAACTTTTTTTACACATCTACCCAAAATATTCACACAATAATGCTGAAAGTTCTAGTTTTCACTTTCATTTTTAGAGACCAAGACATACACGCCCCACAACACTTTTAAAAATGTTGAGGAACCACAAGTTCTGTTGAGCAAAATTGCTTTGCATATGGGAAATTAAGGCACTTCCAGACACATCCTAGAATGAGATATCCAAGTCCACTGCATTACAGAAATATTATGCAACAAAACCAAAACCTACCAGCAAGAGGAGGTTTATGTGAATGCAGAGTGCAGGGTGTGCTGACAATTAACTTATGTTCTGGAATTGGAAGTACACCTTCAGATGTCCTGTCGTATAAAGAACAAGAAAAGAAGTATGAGCAAGGAATGCCACCCAATGTGGTGCTGCAGCTCTCACAGAGCTACTTCAGATGAGAGGTAACACACTCACTGTGTTACTGTGACTGTGAACGCTCATTCACAGTCAAACTTCAGGTAGGTCCAAGGGAAGTTAAAAGTTGCTCAGACATATAAAAGGACAGTTTATGAACTCACTGAGGCTTTAGACACAGTTTGGTTAAGAACAGCCACACAAAGCCATTGAGAACAAACAGTCTTGTATCTCTTCATGAGTAGAAAAACCGCAGCATCCCCAAAATGGCATCAGCCTGTGTCAAGGACTCATGGTCCAAGAGAACATGTCAGCAAAGGAAGCTCTGCCCATGAGAATTTTGTCCAAGTCAGTTCCCCAGCACAGACAGATGTAAGGAAAAGGCAAAGATTTCCATTCTTTAATCTCACTAAGGCACACCCTTATCCCAAAGTTAGTAAGGCTATCTTTAGGTCCACAATCAGCCAAAAGATGATGCCACGAGATTTTAGGATATTATACTGTATTATAAACAAGTGACATATACAAAGGGGATTTTAACATCCTCAAAAAGACATTTACCATTGTCCTGACATACCTTAAGGCTTCCTTTACATCTCCTTGAACTCTCCCCAGTACAAGAACTTCATAGGGCTTTTTGTGCAAAGAATCCAAAGGCAATACAAATTCTCCAGCCCTAGTAATCTGACACAAAAGAGTTAAAAATACACAGTGGAAGATTTTAATATTAATTTTTTCCCAAGACATTTTCTTTTATAAAAGAAAGGATAGTGATGATATCAGACCTTTCAAATACAGAAGCACACAGTAGTAAATAGACAAATTATAAGAATATAAGGTATCATAGTGGAAGTCCTCTCAGTCTGCAAGAAAGAAACAAAACAAATTAAGAACTTACTTTTACCCAGTGCCACTCAGCAAGTGTCTTCACTGACCAGTGAGGATAGAGTTCATCCTTAACAAAATGTAAGTGCTTCTGTCTATTAGTCACCCATGTGACTACAAGACAATTTGGAGCAGCTAGTGTTGGTACAGGAATCTGCTTGATTTGCCATGAAGACAAGTGGCTGTACCTATACAGCAATACAGTGAGAAAGCAAGTTAGCATACACCAAATATAAAAACTGCAAAGCAACACAAATAGATGAAGAAATTACATGGACAGGATGTTTCAAGAATTCTCTCTTGACAACCAAAGTCATAAAAATAGTTCAAGACTGACACCCAGTGGCCAAAGCTGACAGATTTTATATGAAATCATTAGTGTGTGGACTTAAGTTTTACTGAGCAGAACCTTTAACTAAACATTTCCACTATCCCCCCAAATAAAGCATTGTGAGTTGTGACTCTGATAAAGTCTAAAAGCCCATATTTCATTTAAGAACTATCATATGTAATTCAATATTCTCATCTCTACAACAGAACAAAGCCATTTAGTTAAAAGTATCTTCTTAGGCAACGCAGTATTATTCACTTCTCATAATAAGCTCTCTTCTGAATGGAAATGACAAGTGAGTCATTCGCAAGTGCAAGGGCAACACTAATTTGACTGGAAAGTTAAGAGGTCATAAAAGATAATTTCTCCAGTTATTTGCAGAAGTTACTCATTTTTTTAAATTACCAGTCATGGTAGAAATTCTCTAGTTTCTTCAAAACCATTCTGCACTTTCCTGAGCTAACTGAACACTACATCAGTAAATACAGCACGCTTTCCAGATTCTGTCCTGTTCCACCATTCTCTCATGATGCTATTCTACATTATTAGCAAGTTGTAATTCATGGAACCTACACATTACAGCATCAAAAATATCGGGACATTGCCTACTGGAAATCAACAGCTACCATGTGGGTACCTAGGACCCTATACAATGCAACAGTGAGAAACAATATAAACTAGACTGTCCAGAGACAAAAAGATTCACCCAGATGTGAAATGCTTCAAAATTATTAGCTGTCAACAAGGTAATTAAGAGCAGTGATAGCTCCTGCACCTTTTGCCTTTATTTTGTGAGGGAGAGAGGGTCTTGCTGGCTAATTTGTGCTTGTGAATAACTGCAATTTTCCTCTGAGTACCATACATTGTCAAGAAGACATTTGAATTAGTTCAATTACTCATTTTCTATAGGTTTCTTTAAGGCTTTCAAAGGAAAGCCTACTAATCAGTCTCTGCATTTTCAAACTATGTCTTCATAAAAAGCTTCAAAAGCTACGGTAGTTATTAGTCTAGAAAGTTGTAAAGCCCTATTTCCTGTCTGACCTTCTTTCACATGGATACAACTTATAGTAATCCATAGGGGCTCCCATCTTATGAAGGTAATCCAAGAGGGCTCCACTGGCACAAGTCTGATGTTACTTGGCAGTAAAGGAAGCCCATAAAAATTTAATTTAATGACTTCATAAACTACAGTATTCGAGGATTTTACTGCTGCATTATCACTTTCTTCTATCCATTAGACTGAAGCTCCAGCTACGGCTCAAATTAAAAAAAAAACAAACCACAACAACAGCAATAACAAAAACAAACCCCGCAACCAAGATAAACACCACCACTAACACTTCTGAATCAGATTTCAGTTTTGGAAATACTTACACATTTATGTGTAAGTACACTTTATGGCCAGTGGAGTAACCTTATTAATTACAAATTAATATCTGCATGATCTGAGATTTACAAAACAGTTGACACTAGACTTTCTTGGAAATTCTCAAAGACTAACAATCTGTCACCGGCTAGGTAATTTAAGATCTATTCTTGCAGATATTTTGTATGCCAAGCATCCAAGCCCTTTCAGTGAAATCCCCAAGACATTCCATAGACTTGAAGGTAAGCATATGCCAAAATATTTTCAAGTTTAAGCTGCAGTATCACATTATATTGGTCTTGGATTACGTCAGCACATTAAAATATTAATTACCCTTTGCAAGATACAATGACAATGTATGATTTTACTATAAAATTACCTGTTGCTCCTTTTAACAGACTTGTTCTCCCATGGTGGATCAATCACAATTACATCATATTTTTTTTTGTCTGGCAAGTGAAATTGAAAAAAAAAAAAGCCAGTCAATCATCTTTTAAAAAGTCTATGAGTTAAAACTGATATACAGCAAAACCACACATTTCTTCTGTTCTTTTCAAATAAGAAGTTAAAAGACTTTTGGCATGCTTTTTAGAATTCAGATAATCATAGCCTTCAGAGATTTTTAGGTTGATTACCTGAGGAAAGGACTTTTATGTCATCTGTGTCAGATCCCTCCAAGAAATTTTGAACATCTTGAGGATTTTTAGAAAAAAAAAGTTATAGAGTGCAAGTCTCAAAAACGACAATTTCTTCAAGTTTCCTACCAGAAACTAAGTAATAAGGCCCCCAGCTGAGTGAAAAGCTGAAGCCCTGAACACAAGATTCCTCTTCTGTTTGATCTTTCAGCAGGCCAACAGGGACATATAGAGCTTCAAGGAAGTCCTGAAAAACTGTGTTTTGCACTACTGGAGGTAAAGAGAGACAAGATAGCTAGATCTAGTGTATGAAATGCAAATAATGGACAAGAAGAAGAGAACTGAAAGAGTTTTCATGGGAGAAGCTGAGTTTACTTCAGTTGGAGGAGAGAATATACAGGGCACATCCATGAAAAAACAGGACTCTCCAATTTTATTTTTTCCAGAGAACATATTTGTCCTTTCATTGAGTCTGATGGTAAGAACAACAGATCAGTATTTGATGTTCATTACATGTGCTTAGTATATCTTTTTCCCTTAGGATTGGATGTGGTAACCTTACAGCAAGAATTACTTGCAGAATTACTTGACCAGCAAGAATTACTTCTCTTTTTGCAGGTGAAAGGGAAGAAGAAAAACAGAAATTAAAATGGACAGTAGACTTCGTCCAAAAAAAAAAAAAAAAAATCTAATAACTGGCATTATATTAACACTCACTGTTGCTTATTTCAATAAAGAATTTGCTCAAATCTTTTGGACTGCTCTCTGACCTCTTGAAGAATCCAAACATGCTTTCTTATATGCATAGCTTTGCATAGTGAGAATGATCTTCCCTCTTTCCTACAGCTGCAAACAGCTAACCGGTTAAATTCTGGACTTCTTGGATAATAAGATCCTACCTCCTACATGTCTTCCTATTAAAAAAATTAACAGGAACAAACAAACAAAAGTCCAAAACAGGGGCCTGCTCACAGGCAACATCTTTTCTGTAAGACTGTCTGACAAAGCTTAGCTGCTACTGATATTAATAATAATAGTAATAATAATGAAAGTCAATTTGAAAGCTGATGGAACGGTGAAGCACAGTGAAGACTGGTGCATGCTGTCAGCTTAAAGCTTTGATTCACTTTTACAGAGAAGTTATTATAAAATCCCACCATTTCCCAGTCACTGAATTTGGCTTAAGCCAATACTCTCAGCTGCGAAATGTAGCAGCTGAGACATCAAGTCATGCTTGCTACTCCTGGTCTGGCTAAAGTGGTGCTCCCTTCCAGTTGGGTGGAGCAGCCTCTCCAACTGTTATCTTCCCGGGGGGACACTGGGCTCTGTTCCACAATCAGTTTATGCCAATCTAAAAAAGACCCTGCCACTGCATAGGATGAGTCTGTAAGGGAACGTCTGTTTTAAGGTGTGTAATCTTATCCCTCTCCCAATTCCAATTCATGGTTTAATCCAGCTAAAAATCAATTCAGCAGGACCACTACCCTCACAGCAGCATAGACTTACCTATGTTAAAGCCTCATACTGTGGGACAGGGATCCAGCAGCATAGCTAGACCCCACCTAATGCATTTACATGACTTCTAAGCTGACAGTGGCTCAGAACATGCTCACAGACTGTTGTATTTTGGCTGAAATTTTTAAAGGAGTCTCCTGGAGACAAACAATACCCCCCCATGACACAATCTCCTAACCACTCAAGATTCCTTTGAAAACTCTCAACTATTTGCAGAAAGTTAGAAATACCACTTTAAAAGCCTGCAGCAGCATTTCCTATCAGTGTGATACTGTATATTAAAATCTGTTCATTGAGCTCCTATTCATCTTGACATTAACTGTTCTTTTCAGGCAGGAAAGAAGGAGTAAATTCTAAAACCTAAAGATACTTACAGTTCAGCAGGGGCTGTAAACATGAAATATCAGATAAAAGGAAGCTGCTTTTTGGTGGCACCAAGTACTTCTGCCCCATTAACACAATTATCTTTGCATGGTTTGAGGTGTTTTCTGCAACACATGAAAGCAGGTCCTGCTCTGGACTGGAGGTTTCATCCTCTAGCACATATACAGCCCGATGGTCACCTTCATTCACAGCTGGAAACTGCTTTGCCATTTCACATAATTCAGCCAACCCACAGACAACAGGAACGTTATTCTTCCTGCAACTGAGTTCTGCAGTCCTTTGGTGAAGAAAACCACTTTTGAGTCCTTCTTGGACTAAATGCAAAGTGCCTTCCCAAATCAGCTTCCTGACCTGTATTGTCATAAAGGAACAAGGGGAAAAAGAAACGATCTTTCAAGCATCTACTTGCTCAGGGAACGTAACCAAAATCAAAACATTCTTCAATCTGCAGGCAGGGAAAATGATTCTTGCCAGTTACAGAGAACATTGGCTCAAAAGCTACAAAGGGCATGATGATAAGGCTGTGTATCATGGTCCAACACCAGCTGGCAACCAAGTACCACTCAGCTGTTCACTCACACTCCACAAACCCCATTCTGTGGTGAGCAGGAGAAAAAAAAAAAAAACCATGGGCTGAGATAAGATCAGTTTAATAACTGAAACAAAATTAATTATTATGATTATTAAAAACAGAAAGAGAGAGAAATACCACCCAAGAGAAACAACTGATGCACAGTACAATCACAAAATAATCTGAGTTGACTTGCAGAGCTATAACCTTTAACATCACAAACACAGTAAAAACCCAATACTTCCTAATCTGTTAATGGTATCAGAGGCTAGCCAGGATCACAGGTTTTTCCAAACTGTGTCTTTTTACATATTCATCAAAAATGCTTCAGTGTAATTCAGTTGTAACTTCACCAGTACATTACTGACATAAGCCTATAGACTTGAATTCCAATTCATTCATAATGCTTTAGTATGACAATATAAAATGTTAGAGGAAAAAAAAAATAAAAAAATCTTTCTCATTTGCAGAATGAGATATTTTGGAGCACATTTGGTCAAAAGAAGCTTTGAATAACTTCAGCACAGTGCCCTGATACACTAAAGATGAGCTGATCTTCAGAAAAGGTTACAGTCTATTTCAAATCAGTCACTTCCTGACCAACTAATACTCAGCTCATCACAGTATAATATTTAGTTATCCATAACAGTAAAAGAAACTTTGTCAATGCAGTTTCCAGCTCCTTGAAATATCTCAAATGCAATTTCACATGTGTCTACAAAGAAGATCTTCTCTGTAAGCACTTTTCACTTAAGACTGGAGAGACTCACCTTCCCACTAATGGAACAAGCTACAGGAACAGAACTTGTTTGCAACCATGGCCCGCACTCTGTACATGCCTATCAGGTATCATGTACTTGCAAAATATACTTTTTTCCAACTTACCTTTGAATGGTATTCCAAAGCATCCAGTTCACCGTGGTTGAATAAACATTTCCTTTTACGTTTCTGCAGAATGAGCAAGCAATGAAAAAAAAAAATAATCCATATTATTCTGCAAGGACAAAAAAAAAAAATCAAACATACCTGAATTACCAATTAACTCTTTCAAAAGCAGAAGAAACTTTACATCTCTTTCTTTTTCCATCACAAATACAAGTCAAATAAGCAAAAAGATCTAGGCTGCGGCAGACATTCTCAAGGTACATACACTTAAAGCTGTGTTATGTTACTCATGTCACTGGGATCTGAAGATACCTAGTGCATGCCACAGCTGGTGCTCATGCTTCCTTTGGGCCCACACTAGAAGTTTCAGCTGCCAAGTGCAGTTTACCAATAAAAGAAAATTAACTACATTTCATTGATCACATCTGTTGTTTTAGACCTACAATTCTTATTTTCTTTTGTCCATAAGAAACAGTACTGAACAATATTGAAAGCTAATTCCTATTCTCCTTCCCATCTTGCTGATATGCACAGTCTTGACAGCAACCACAGCTGGAGCTCAAGTGCCTACCACCAATGTCAGAAGATTTTGTGAGCTTTTGAGTCACAAAATGCACATTATTGACATACAGAACACAAGAATATCCTCATAAGTGCTTACAATTTCTGTGCATCTTGAAAATACATGATGTAAAAGTTCCTGCTCTTCTGCACAACCTCAGAAGACTCAGGTATGCAAAATAATGTTAAATAGTAAATTATCACAGGATTACTGTAGTTTACTGTATGACAGAACATACCTTCATAGCACTGGCAACAGAATCTTCAACACCACTCTTTGTTCCTTCCTGGCATTCCTCTCTGTTACTGTTGACCTTTATTTCTGTCAGGCTCATCTCAGGGCACCCCTGACATAGCTGCTGCTCAGGAGGTGCAACTATATGGGGCTTAGAAATGTCAAAGAACTCCTCTCGAAACACGTATCTCGTTTTTGCTGTTTTACCTTCTGTTTCTATGGCGTCCTCAGGGCTATGAGTAGGACCACTGCTTGATGAGGAGGTGGTAACAAAGGTAGAAGAACCATGACAGTCTTCAGTAGATGTGACAGAAGTATTGAGAGTGACACCACCAGGGCATGCAAAGGAGTCACAGATCTCATAGCCACACTGGTTGATGAAAGAGAGATGATCCACAAGCCATCCCACTGTCAGATGATGTACCACGGACATCGTAACTTCCCTTTTCAGGAGGAAAAAATCAACTTCCTGAAACTGCAGCTTTCATCAACTATACACATTTCCTGGAGTAAACTCCTCCTGTGGGGATTTTTATAAGAATTTGCTTTTCAGAACTATCACTGTTTTAATAAAGTAGAACATACCTTCAGGTGGACATTTCCACGTGCACACAGGACATGCTGTAGCACCTTCTGACTTCAGTTGTTTTCCCTGTGCATCCCTATTTTAGCTTCATCCCTATAATGTTTTTTGTTTTAACAGTAAGCAAGTTTTATATAAGTTTTTACACTTTTATGCAGCACGCATTTACTCTAAGACAGTTCCTTCAACAAGCTGGAAAACAGCACTGTGGCACTGTGATCATGGCTATGACTATATGACTAGGGCAAATATACATACACAGCACACATACACACATATGGATATACGGATATATATGCTATATACGCACACATACATGTACACATGTACACATACCCACACACACGACAGTGACAGCGCTCGGGAGCAGTACACAGGCACAGAAGCAGCGGCGGCACCACCGCTGCTGAAGCCCGGCGCCGATGCCCGCCCGCCCCCGGAGGTACACAAGGGCAGAAAGCTCGGATTTTTCCCCAGAAGAATTCGCTACGGCTGGAAAAAAAAGCCCCGGAGCTCGCCCTGGCACGGCAGCGCCTCACACCCTCACCGTGGGCGCCGCCATCTTGCTGTACGGCCATGGCCCTTCCCTTGGGCCCCTCCCAAGATCCTCCCCTCGCCTCCCTTCTCCCCGTGTCCCCCCGCTCCGCCGTGACGCAGTTCCTTGTGACGAGCCGCTGCGTGACGCAGTGGGCGGGCGGATTTGAATTTGAGCGGAGGAGGAGGAAGGCGGCGGTGCTGGAGGTAACGGCTGGGACGGGGCTCTCCGCCGTGCGGGCCTTTCCCTCTGAGAGGGGGCGGGAGGGAGGGCGGCAGCAACAACAACGCCGCCGCCGCCGCCCTCACCGTTGCCGCCCCGGGGCCGGTGTCCGTGAGGTGGTGGCGAGTACCGCGCTGGCTGCCCTGGTTGCCTTCGGTACGGTTTAGACGCGCTGTCAGGGCGAGCGGGGGAGCTGCGCCCAGCTCTGCCGCGCTCCCTTCCCTTTTATTCCCCGCTGGCGTGTTGGCTGCAGCAAATTCTTCTCTTAAATCTCTGCTCGAACTCTGCTCTTCTGGCATCCTGGGTTGTATTAGGAATAGTGTGGCCAGCAGGACTAGAGAAGTGGTTGTTCCTCTGTACTCGGCACTGGTGAGGCCGCACCTTGAGTGCCGTGTCCAGTTCTGGGCCCGTCAATTCAGGAAGGACATTGAGGTACCGGAGCGAGTCCAGAGAAAGGCAATGAAGCTGGTGAAGGGTCTGGAGCACAGTTCTGATGAGGAGCGGCTGAGGAAGGTGGGGTTGTTTAGCCTGGAGAAAAGGCGGCTTGCGGGGGGACCTTATCGTTCTCTACAACTGCCTGAAAGGAGATTATAGGCAGGTGGGGTCGGGCTCTTCTCCCAGGCAACCAGCAACAGGAGGAGAGGGCACGGCCTCAAGCTGTGCTGAGGGAGGTTTAGGTTGGACACCAGGAGGAATTTCTTCACAGAAAGGGTGACTAGACACTGGAAGGGGTTGTCCAGAGAGGTGGTGAAGTCACCATCCCTAGAGGTGTTCAAGAAAAGACTGGACGTGGCGCTTAGTGCTGCAGTCTAGTTGACAGGATGGCCTAGTTGATAGGCTGGACTTGATGATCTCAAAGGTCTTTTCCAACCTCATTGAGTCTGTGATTTGGGAAACTAGTCACTTGGTGTATTTATGAAAACAATCTGTCTGCGGTTAGGTCGCTGTTAAAGTGATTGAATAATGCAGCTTCTTCCCCAGAGACAGTGAAGTCGTGGATACACTATCGTATGAGCTGGGCCTGAACTAAACCTCTACCATGGTTTGTGAGCACTAGAACTAGAAGCGAAATGAAACACAGTTTATACTGATAATGTGTTTTGGTAATGTTTGTAGTGGAGGTTTTTTTGATTAGTTATAATTCGGTCACTTAAGGCTGTCCCACAAATAAAATAGATCCTCTCTAGAGGGTGAAAGTTGTTGGGTTTTTTCCAGAGTTAATTCTATTTACTACAGATTCCCACTTAATGTCACCTTGGGGACAGTGGTATTAATATTCCAGTTTGATTTATATTTTGTGTGTGTAGTCTGAAGAGAGCCATAATATTATTTCAGAATAGGTTTTCCAGTTATTATGCTATGATACTGCAAGATCTTTTGCAAAATTAATAAGCAGGCTCAGAATTAGCAGTTCAGGAGTAGATGAAGTGCTGAAGAGCTGGAAACAGTAGTCATGGTAGTGTAGCTGACTGAACTGAAAAATTTCTCAAGCCTTTTTGCTTGTGGAACTTGTAGGTTAGAAATGCCCAGATGTAAAGGCAAAATAGTAGGTTCGGAACAAGCACTGACACTTTCATCAATAAAATAATTGATTTAAATGACTGTGGCTGCTCCTGTGTGTTTCTGGAGTCTAACATAATCACTTTTTTCTTTTTTTCTTTTTTTTTAAAGAGAATCCAGTATTTCTAGAAACTTCGCCACACTGTTTGATCCAATGTACAGTTCTACTTGCTTATTCTGATCCTTAAGAAAATCATTGTGGAGTTCAAAAAGACAAATACTCTTAGATCCCGGATTTTCTGATACTGAGGGATTGTGATTTACAGTTCAGTCACAATGAGACGAAGCTCAAAGATCACTAGAAGCAGCGGTCGGCAATCTATGATGGCACTGAGAGTGCAGGACAACAACAAGATGGGTCTTCAAACACCTCAGATGTAAGTGTTGCTGATCATCTTGCCAAGAATAGCTACATAAAACTAATTCTGAAGAGATTTAGTATAGTGTATTTGAGTGTGTGAGTGGTAACTGGGGCAAAAATTGGAAACAGTGAGAAGAAAGCTCCTTGCAGCCAAGAATGTTTGCACAAGTGCTCCAGTCCTGCAAAAAGACTTCCTTTAATCTTTTTGTGTACCTGTGACACATTTCAAATGGTAACACATTTTCTAACATACTTGTTAGGTGGTGGCTTGGTGCCTCTGTATAGAAAATGTGTACTTACAAATCTTCTTGCAGAATTAGTTTTAATAATGGACAAATAATGCATTAAAATTGGTTGACTTTTCTAAGATGCTGTGCGATGAAGGTGCTTAGGCTTATACGAGTGTGTTTATAGTTCTTGCATGAGCAAAAGGTGAAATGGTAGAAATAGTCACTTAAATCCTTCTCACTATTCCTCAGGGTGGACAAAGGTACCTTTGGGAAGCTGAGCATGAGCAAACCTACACCTGCAACTTCAGAAAGAAAAATCAGCATTTTTGGGAAGAGGTATTGATAACTTTCGTTCTCTGCTCTGTAAATTAAAACAATAATGCTCCCACATAATTTTGTCATTTTTTTCTCTTGATAGATTTTTCACTATAGGGAATAATTATCTGAGGCCAGGAGACGTTCAGGTCTGCCTCACTCCACTCTTTGGTCACTAAGCAATAATGCTGTGGAGTAAGAATCGCTTTGGGAGCTGTTTTTTCTCTTGGGAATGATATGCATGACAGACCTTCTGAGCACCTCAATACACTTTCCTGTTCAAGGAAGAATGACATTTCCAGTACACTCTGCCTTGGTTTCTTCTCTCTAAGATACAAACCTTCTAAAATTCTATAATCTTCTGCTTAGTTCACAATTTTCTGTGTTTGAATGTCTTGCAGGTGTCTTCTTTTGTAAGACCCCACTGTTGCAGGGGTCTATTCCTTTTAAATATTTCTTTAAATATTTTAATCTTTATTTTCAGCCACCTACATCATTTTATCTTCATCTTTGGAGTATTTTTTGCTCCAAAAAACTTATTTCTTTCAATAAAATGAAGAAAATATTTATCTAGGATTCAGTAATCCCTTTGTTGTGCATGTGCATTGTGGTTTCCAAGTTGATGATGTTTTTCCAATCATCTGAAATACAGAGAACTTCAGGTATCACTTTGCATAAAAAATTCAAAGGAAACATAAAAATAGCAATTTTAGTGACTTAAACATTAAGAGAGTTTCTCTTTTATATTTATTGTCCTGTATTTACTGTTTGTCCTTAGAACTAGTGTGACTGGAGGGTCACGCAACAGTCAGTACGGTGTGTTCGGTACAGAAAAGATAAAGGATCCCAGGCCACTCCAAGAAAAGGCATTCATCCAACAATGTATCAAGCAGCTTTGTGAGGTAACATATTAACTTATTCTGAATGTTTAGTCATAGAATATGCTAATAAAAATACTTACTTCCTTGGTTTCAACTTCAGGTTCTATTTAGTGACTAATATGCCATGTTTCTTTTTTGTAGTTTCTGGTTGAGAATGGTTATGCCCATAATGTTTCCATGAAATCGCTACAGTCTCCATCAGTTAAGGACTTTTTAAAAATCTTCACTTTTATCTATGGGTTTCTCTGCCCTTCTTATGAACTGCCTGACTCAAAATTTGAAGAGGAAATTCCCAAAATTTTTAAGGAACTTGGGTAAGATGATTATTTGTTAGTCTGTTGTGCTAAATAGATAAGATTCTGCTTCTTTATTCAGATGAGACTCTGAAAGTACAATATTGTGATTATTGTGCTTCACTTTAGCTCTAGGTTTACACTCTGATTTTCAGACTCTACTATGCATTTTATGTTTGAACTTGCAGAACTATAGGCTCTTGGAAGCTTGCTTTGTAATGTAAAATTTAATTGATTATCTTTATTTGTATAAAGCTTTGAAAGACAAACAGACCTTTCTTTTACAGACCCTTCTGTATATGCTGCTAGAATCCAAGAACTAAAAATTCCAAAATGTTGGATCCAGTTAATTTAGTTTAAGATGGTTTTTTTCCTGTAATCTCTCTCATTCTGCTTTCAAAGCAGGGTGTGCAAATAACAAAAATAACTGCTGAGGTTAAAAAAACACAGAGTAGCTGAGTGGTTTACTTCTGAATTTGTTCAGTGTTTGGAATCATTAATGGCCCCCAATGCTTTCCAAGAAAGAAATTCCTCTGCCTGTTGTTAATGGGGAATTTTCAGTCTCATTGAAAACCACCAATGAAGTGTATTTTATTTCTGTAGATTTGAGTCCGTGATGGTGTCAAAGCACTGAAGGACTCCTTAGATATAAATGTAAATCTGTTTCATTCCTTTCTTAATTAAATTAATTAAAACAAAACTTAATTAATATTAATCTGTAACATTTGAAACAGCTGATGTAGCTTGAAATCTTGAAACAGATTACATTCTGCTGCACCAAGAGTGTAATCCTGGATACAGAGACTTATTCTGAGAACTCACTGTAAGTTGTCTTTTTTGAGTTCAAGGAGCATCTGGATGACACTCTTAATGATATGGTTTAGTTTTAGGCAGTCCTATGAGGAGCAGGGAGTTGGACTTGGTGATCATTATGGGTACCTTTCAAATCAAGATATTGTATGAATCATAAAGTGAGAAACCCATGATAATTGAATGAAATAGAAGTCAACTTATTTCCTTTGACGTACAGCATAAACTACAATTGAGTTTGTTCTTCCTTCTGCGCCTTCATGTACATATAAAAATGTGCTGCTTTGTTTGCAAAATGTGCTGGTTTGTTTTCATCACTGTTTGCCACTGCT